ATCCCTCTTGATCCTCCTTTGGAGGAGGATCATTAATCATTTGCATGTCTAAGCAGTTGAATATACAGTTAATAGTCATGGAGGTTATTTCTTTTTTTCTCAGAAGGTTGAACAAGTCAGACAAATTTTGGAACCTGGAAGTCTTTTTATGTTAATTTAACACTAAAACCTTTCTCAGCTCATTCTTTTGTTTCGGTTCCCAGGGGCATGAGATTGCATTCGATATAATCTTTCATAGCATATTACCATCATTGGTCAGCTGGGAGTCCCTGTTTAGTTTTCTTTGCTCCCTTTTATTCCTAGCTCTTTCCAGCCACTGTAATTAACCATTCTAATGTGTTAGCTATTTGTGTTTTTGTATCTGAACTTCCAAAATATGTGCTGTGGTTTTTGTAAAGAATCTTAATTCACATAAACAGTATTATATAATGCGTTGACCCCATGCTGTTTGTCCCCCTTTTCATTCAGCACTGTTTACAAAATCTCTTTATGTTACTATTGACATTAATTTATTTTAATTATTAATCTATGTCAAAACAGAAGAGAACTTTAGTTATTTTTTGTTGTTACAGTTTTTCATAGTTTTATTGCACTATGTCCAGAGACAGGTTATATGATGTTGATTTTTTTGAGACTTATTGAGGTTTCTTTTATGGTCTAATATACAGTCTGTTTCTGTAATTGTTCAGTGTGTGTCTCCCCAAAATGTGTATTTTCTGTCGGATGTAACATTCTCTTAAATACAATACCTTGAGCCTATTGAATTGTCAGTCGTCAGTTTATTTTTTTTTTAATCTTCTTCTGCTTTATTATTTTCTGAGAAAGATGTGTTAAAATTTTATTTTATTTGTTTCCTTAACTGTGGTATCATTTCTTAACTATTTTACCCTAGAAATTCAGTAAACAATACAGTTGAAAGCATAATTGCTCTGGTTGAATCTGGAAGAACAGGTTTTAAATCGAATGTACTTTCAAGGTCCCATCCCCAGAGTACCTTAAGGCACCTCTGTAGAATCTCTAAATTGGAATATTATTTCTGTAAACAAGCTATCAATTAACCCTTTAACCTTGCACTCTTATTTCTTGTCACCCACCCACTAAATTAAACAATTTTCAATTCAAAGCCAGACTTTCACATCCCCTTCCTCATCCCTCTGCATGGAAGTTTTTACCCTTGCCATTTGGTCCACCAGAATTCTTCTTCACATAACCAAACTCTGTAGCTTATTCAAAACTGTCCTTATATACCCAAAGAATAAAAAAACTAATTAAAAAAGATATATACATAATTCAGTGTTAATAGAAGCTTTACTTACAATAGTCAGGCAACCTAAGTGTCCATCCATAGATGAATGGGTAAAAGAGATGTGGTATGGAATGGAATACTACTCAACCATAAAAAAGATATTGCCATTTGTGACAACATGAATGGGCCTAGAATTTATTATACAAAGCCAGATAAAGACAAATACAAACATGAAATAAAAAAAAAAAAAAAAAACCAAAAGCAAAAGAACAAACTAAACAAAACAGAAACAGACTTACAGAGAACAAACTGGTAGTCACCAAAGGTGGGGAGTGATTGGACAAAATAGGTGAAGGGTATTAAGATGTACAAGCTTCCACTTATTAATAATCCATAGGATGTAATGTACAATATAGGGATTATGTTCAGTAATATTGTAATAACTTTGTATGGTTTAGCTTTGTAATAGCTATGGATGGTTACCAGACTTACTATAGTGATCAATTTGTCATGTATATAAACATTGAATCACTATTTTGTATACCGGAAACTGATATTATATGTCAACTGTACTTCAATTAAGAAAAGAAAAAGAAAAAAAAAGCCTTCTCAAATTCTGCTTCTTTCAAGAAATCTCTTCTAGCCACATCATTTCTTAGAATTCTAAAGGGAATGATTGCTCAGTTCAGTTCAGTCGCTCAGTAGTGTCTGACTCTTTATGACCCTATGGACTGCAGTACGCTGGGCTTCCCTGTCCGTCACCAACTCCTGCAGCTTACTCAAACTCATGTCCATCGAGTCAGTAATGCCATCCAACCATCTCATCCTCTGTTGTCCCCTTCTCCTCCTGCCCTCAATCTTTCCCAGCATCAGGGTCTTTTCAAATGAGTCAGTTCTTTACATCAGGTGGCCAAAGTATTGGAATTTTAGCTTCAACATCAGTCCTTACAATGAATATTCAGGACTGATTTCCTTTAGGATGGACTGGTTGGAACTCCTTGCAATCCAAGGGACTCTCAAGAGTCTTCTCCAATGCCACAGTTCAAAGCATTTGGTGCTCAGCTTTCTTTATAGTCCAACTCTCACATCCTACATGACTACCGGAAAAACCATAGCTTTGACTAGAAGGACCTTTGTTGGCAAAGTAATTTCTCTGCTTTTGAATATGCTGTCTGGGTTGGTCATAGCTTTTCTTCCAAGGTGCAAGCGTCTTTTAATTTCACGCTGCAGTCACCATCTGCAGTGATTTTGGAGCCCCCAAAAATAAAGACAGCCACTGTTTCCACTGTTTCCCCATCTATTTGCCATGAAGTGATGGGACTAGGTGCCATGATCTTATTTTTCTGAATGTTGAGTTTTAAGCCAACTTTTTCATTCTCCTCTTCCACTTTCATCAAGAGGCTCTTTAGTTCTTCGCTTTCTGCCATAAGGGTGGTATCATCTGCATATCTGAGGTTATTGATATTTCTCCCAGTAATCTCGATTCCAGTTTGTGCTTCATCCAGCACGGCATTTCTCATGATGTACTCTGCATAGAAGTTAAATAAGCAGGGTGACAATATACAGCCTTGATGTATTCCTTTCCTGAGTTGGAACCAGTCTGTGGTTCCATGTCCAGTTCTAACTGTTGCTTCTTGACCTTCATACAAATTTCTCAGTAAACAGCTCAGGTGGTCTGTTATTCCCATCTCTTGATGAATTTTCCACAGTTTGCTGTGATCCACACAGTCAAAGATTTTGGTGTAGTCAATAAAGCAGAAGTAGGTATTTTTCTGGAACTCTCTTGCTTTTTCGATGATCCAGCAGATGTTGGCAATTTGATCTCTGGTTCCTCTGCCTTTTCTAAAACCAGCTTGAACATCTGGAAGTTCATGGTTCATGTATTGCTGAAGCCTGGCTTGGAGAATTTTGAGCATTACTTTACTAGCATGTGAGATGGGTGCAATTGTGCCGTAGTTTGAGCATTCTTTGGCATTTCCTTTCTTAGGGATTGGAATGAAAACTGACCTTTTCCAGTCCTGTGGCCGCTGCTGAGTTTTCCAATGATTGCTAGTGCAGTTAATTTAATGTTTATTCACTGACCTAAATTTACTAATTGATTAATATATATTTAGTGGCCAGCATGTGGAGTGGTTGGAATTTCTGTTTATTTAGCTGTAGTTGTTTATTAGTTGGTGTGTTTGTTTGCTTCCTCTGCTTTGTTGTATAAGTATGTTGAGGGTAACTTGTGTTTTGTATCCTCTATTAATTAAGGTACCACATAATGGCTTGTTCTTAATAGTTGACTGACGAAAACACTTTATTTACTTCAGTGTTAATGGGGATAACTTTATTTCTATATAGAGGACAGTTTTGTTACATTGCAAATTCTTTAGTTTACTGTACTTTGCAAAATATGTTCTTTATTATTCATAAGCATGATCAGTGAAAGTTCTTTAAGATTCTCTTCAAACTCCTTATAGACAAATTTAGCCTCTTTCTAAAATAAGCATTTGTGATTAATTATTTCAATGAAAATTTATGTACAAAATAGCCTTTATGAGTTTAAATTTATCTACTGTCTTTTAAGGCAGTGTTTGTCATATCTGGTAAAGTGACGAGATGGACTAGGCTGTCTTCCTTCCCTTCCCCCTTAACACTAACTATTCCAGTTAAGCTTTCAATTTGCAAGGTTCCCTCTAAGGATAGTGACCTTAGTGTTAGAGCATACAGAGTTCCAGCATAGTTGCAAGAATAGCTTGGTTTTTCAGCTGATGAGATGATTGCATCATGTGATGGAGTCTCCAGCACGCCTTGGAGCACTGGTAGCACTCCTGGCCTGAGCTGGTGCTGTTTGGTGTACAAGGCATGTTTAAAGCTGTGTTATTCTCCACACTGACCTGCCAGTGTGGTTGCATTGCACAGGTGAAGCATAGCCAGCCACATCCTAAAACAGGTAGGTTAGGCTGTAAAATAGAGGTTGCAAGATGAAACAGAAGATCAAATAGAAGAATTATAAAATACCTATAAGCCATGAGCCATTAAGTCCTTTATATTTTATTTCATTTTCCCAACTTCTGTGAAGTGGGAATTATTGTGTCCATTTTAAAGATGAAGAAGTGGAGGTAAATTCCATAGAGGTAAAACGATGTATTAATTAATGGACACTGAGTAAGTGGTAGACATGTGTATTAACTTCAGATCTGACAGCTAAATCAACATCCTTAATTCTCCTTGTTTTTACTCGCGTAACACCCAGTATTGTTTTGTACCCTTTGTATACTTTAAAGAAATGTGATTATTTAGAGTTAATGGTTGATTTTCTTTCCTACTGGACTACAGGTCCATGAGAGTAGATCCGTGTCTGTTTTGTTCAACCAACAGACCAAGCGCTTTGCTTGGCACAAAGCTGGTGATCAGTATATATTCTTTGTTTCCCTTGTTCTTTTTTCGTAGGGAAGCAAGTAGTGCAGACAGGCCAGGTTTTCCACCACATTGTGTTGACTCTCTTAGGTAAGAAAATGTGTAGAAAATCTAGGCCAGCTCTTGAACCTGAACAGTCAGGGAAGGTTTTATGGGGAGCCATCTGCTTAGATGGAGATCAAATAACCTTTAACTATAACCTGTATATAAGGCTGTGAATGACCTCAAGTACTTCACTTACAAGAAGGGACAATTCAATGTGGAGGCATCAGTAAAAGTGGGGAAATGCCAATGCCTTGATAATATAGATTCAGGTGCTCTAATTAATTTTTTTAACCTTTTTTTTAATTAGAAAAAATCAGGCAAAGATATGCAGACCTGCCTGGAGAACTCCACATTATTGAACTTGAAAAGGATAAGAATGGACTTGGACTCAGCCTCGCTGGTAACAAAGACAGGTCACGCATGAGCATATTTGTGGTGGGAATTAACCCTGAGGGACCTGCTGCCATGGATGGACGAATGCGTATTGGAGATGAACTGTTAGAGGTGAGGGGCATCTATTCTTAATTTTTGTTTGGGTGAGATGATTGGATATAGAGGGTAGTGTATAAGATGATGAAGTAGAAGGGTAAAATGTTATAAATTGCATTTTCTTCAACTATTTGTTATCATTTTCCCAAGCAAGAACGAAAATCATATTGTTGCTTACAGTTACTATTGGCTGCTTGAGTCAAGACTAATCTCACAAAATAATTTAAGGGCCTTTGAGTAAATTCTCATGAAAACGTATGAAAAGAATAGAGCTTGTTTTTGAATATAAATTCCAAAAGATTCAACACTAATTTGTGTATTATTAATCTGACATTATTAGTATTTAACAAAATCCTCTTCAGCTTCTGAATTAACTGTAAATATAACATTTGTTTTTGTTGCTGTTGTTGTTTAGTTTTTCTGAAAGGTGTTACAGCCAACAAAATCTTACGAACTGGTTGTCAAGGACTGGTTAATATCTGTGAGTTGGTAATGTGGTTAAAGTCACATAGGTCCCTTATTTAGGAACAGGAGAGAGAAAAGAGAAGTTAGGGAGGGGACTCATCCTCTGCTACTATTCCAGATGATTTCATCAGTAATCTGAAAAGGTTATTCTCATATTTGTAAGCTTAAAGTCAGGGTCTCTTCTCTACTGCTAAGTCACTTCAGTCGTGTCCAACTCTGCGTGACCCCATAGACGGCAACCCACCAAGCTCCCCCATCCCTGGGATTCTCTAGGCAAGAACACTGGAGTGGGTTGCCATTTCCTTCTCCGATGTATGAAAGTGAAAGTGAAGTTGCTCAGTCGTGTCTGACTCAGCGACCCCATGGACTGTAACCTACCAGGCTCCTCTGTCCATGGGATTTTCCAGGCAAGAGTACTGGAGTGGGTTGCCATTGCCTTCTCCCTCTGCTCTGAGTTTATCTTATTTTTATATTTATTTGCCAGTTCAATCATTCATGAATTCAACTAACAGTTTTTTGAGTGTCTCTTAGGGCTGGATACCAAAAAAGAGATGAATACTCCAGTCCCTTCATTCAGATAGCTCACAGTCTCAAGGAAGAAAAGAGACATAAAAGATTGTTGCACAACAAAAGTGGAAAAAAAAAGATTATAATAAAAGCAGCAATATGTACTTGGTGCCAGAAATAGCTTTACTGAGGTCACAAAGTAACGAGGTGAGGTCGCAAAGTAAACGCGGCTTTGGGATTCAATACCAGGCAGTCTGACTTCTTAGCTGTTTGTTAACCAGTGTGCTCTAAGGCCTCTTGGATAAAATACTCCAACACTTGAACATTTAGGGGAGCTGAGTCACAGAGGCACTGAGTGTCAGATGCTTACTTCACGTGAGGCCGTACTAATTTTTCATTTTATAATTTCCTCTGCAGACTCTACTCAGAATAGAATTCATAGTCATCTATAATGTGACTTGCCTAATAATATCTACAGCCAAAGCTGTTCAGACACAACTCTAAGATCATTAGTATCACCCTCTGTCTTCCCAGCCTTGGTAGTTTCTCCCCATTTTGAAACCCGTTTTCACCAAGAAGTCACTCCTGGAATTACTTTTCTTGTTGTTTGCAATATAGCATTATGAAAGCGACCCACATCGGGTAGTAGTATTGACTAGCATAATCATCAAGTAAATAAAAATCAATGGTATTAGTATGGATTAACCAGTATAATTCATTGCTTCAAGTTCATTTCATTTAGAGATTTCTTCATAAACAAAACTAAAGTGATGGTGGTGGTAATAATGATGAAAGTAAAAGCTAGTTTACTGAGCTATCCCTAGCATTTTACCTATGTACTAACACATTTGTATTCTTAAGAGCCCTATATGGTAAGTACTGTTACTATCCCAATTTTCTGGATTAAAAAACTGCATAAGTAACAGAACTAAGTTGCTAAGAACCCAGGTTTGCCAGGCTCCAAGATCTGTGCTCTTGCAACTGAAGTATACTGCATTCTCCACTGTACTTCCAGCAAATCCTGTCTGTTTAGATCCGTGAGAATCCTGACTTATGATATTCTAGGCTTTAGGAAACCATATATATTAAATCATACTGCTGTATTATGCACACCTAAATGCATTATTTCCTGTCTTGTGTGGTACATGGAAATGTTCCAAAAGCTATCATTTGGAACATGACAATTCTAGTTCTATTTTCTCTGCCTTATTAAGACTCAAGATGGAATGACTAATGTCATCCAGACCAAGAAGAGAAGTGGTATATTATTTCTGTGTCTGACATTTTATTAGATAGAGAAAACAGATGAGCTAAGGCTGCAGGGTGATGAGAGTGTTTTATAGGCCATACAGTAAAGTCAACATTGTGTGCAGGGCAGAGAGTGCTAAACTAGGAAGACCTACTTTAATTATTCCAGTTCTTTCCGTTATTAGTTACATTTCAGAAGGGATTTTAATATAGTGTAGGGCACATGGTTGACTATTAATCAGATCATATTTCCTCTCTTAAAGACAGAAACTTCAGGTATCTGTTTTCTCTCTAGGCTAGAAGCTAGAAGAGCTCTCCTGAATAAAAAAGAATATTAGCAGCTTTTTCAGACCCCTCCTATTCCCTCCTTTGACTTTCTGAATTTGGTCCTCTTGTTGCTCTTCAGTAATTTTATCTTCATTCAGAGATTAAAAGAATGAGAAGATTAAACATGGCAATAAATTAATCCCCCCATACTCTCCACAGAGTCTTTTATTTAAGTAAAATAAAATTAAAAGTTGGAATACAGAGTCTAGCATCACACATCTTTGATTCTAACCCTCAGTTACCTTCTTTATCAAATGGAAATTTTTTATTCATTTAGCACATACTTTACTAGGCATCTTTTGTGTAGGAGGAAGTATAGGAGCAAGGTGCTGATTTTACATGGTGAAGAAAATCCATCACCCTATTCTCATAGAGCTCACAGTCTAGTGATTGTGTAGCTTCAACCTCAAAGACTGTTACAAGAATTAATGAGAAGATAGGTCACATTTTGCCACCACATCTGGCACTTACTAATACCATAATACATTTCAACTGATAATATTTATAAAAAAAATTTATGTGGATTTGTGGGTCTCAGTTCTTTTTAGCTTATTTATATTAATGTATTTGTCTCCAAAAGTATGTTCCAGAGGGAAACCATCATACTCTCCAGTAGCTCCATGCAGCATCTTGAAAAGCTGAGAGAGTAGAAAAATGCACAGACTGGATTCTTATGCAGTTATAAGCCATCTTCTCATGGGCTTCTGGCTTCTAGGTCAGGGATGACTGTAAAAAAAAATCATGTGGGAAGCATTTTCCTGGTTTCTTTTTATAGCTGAGAAAAAATTTCAGTCATTTCTCTATGATATGTGAAGAATTTGTTTATAACATAATATCAAATCCAATGTGCTTTTGGACTGAGAATAAGGCATTGATATAATGATGAGAACCAGGAAAGCCAGAAGCCAGTGTTACAATAGCTGTTCTTGGATATGCAGTGTATTAGATGTTGTTGAAGGAGACTGCATCATGAAGGAGACATTTACAATGGGCTTTTAGATCATACTTACTGGGTTAGAGCAAATCTTGTGTATTTGCTGACCCATCTGCACTTCATTTATTTTTGTCAATTGAGGTAAAGTTATCCATGTCTTGATCAGTCTTACAATTCTGCTATTTGCTCGTATTATTTCTCATAATTGCTTTGTTGTTTTCATTATTACTTTCCTCACAGCCCCCTTTTATTTAGGGTTGATCTGACTTTTTCAGGCCCTCAGATGTAGTTAATTTATAGGAAGTAGAAAAGAGCATGGTCGAACATACATTGTAGCTTACTGGAAGTGAGAAATTCTGCATCTCTTCCGGAGCCCCGCCCATGACTGATTTTTGGCACAGCAGCCGCCAGCAGTTTTGTTGCTGTAGGAATACATCATTACAGTGCAAGAGCAGTCAGCAAGTTCTGTCATTGATGGCTCAGTTCATGTATAAAAGAAATCTTACACTGAGCCCCCAGAAGACAATGTGATTAAATCTCAGCTTCTTTCTCCTTTACTAGGATGCTAGTGTGGGGGTTCTGAATTAATTTCAAAATGCATTAGCATATAATTACCATGTAGACTGGAATGAGACTTTCTAGGGTATTGGCTTTCCCTAAGCAATTAGTCCCAGAAAATACACAGGCCCGGGCATGGTGCTGTCTTGTGAATATAGGATTTATTTATAATCTTCCCTACAGGGCGAGTGTGGGAGGAGAGCTGATAGTGCCATGTGGGGATTGGAATGATTTGTCAGGTGAGGGAAGCAGCCAGAAGGAGCAGCGTGGGTGGCATTTGGAAGTGTGCAGTGGATGGGCTTGCATGTCTGGCTCCCACACCCTTTAAGACAGATGAAGTTCATTCCCTTTGTGACATTTACCTGTAGCATAGCCTAAGTTAAATCTTATTATTTTTGTATGTGTATAATAGGTTTATTTAAGAACCATTGAAAATAAAAAGTATGAATACTGCCTATATTTGCTAAGAATAAAGACATAGAACTATAGGTAAACTCAGATCTTTTTGTTTAGTAGTACTTATTTTATCAGAGGAAAAAACTTAAATCATTAAATGACTGACTCAGGTACATGTAGGTGCTTTATGACAAACTCCTGTCTGAGGGTGCTTACCTCCACACCAGTCCAAAAGGTTGATCCTTCACTTGTTGCCAGTGAATTATTTTTGAAATCTTTCTGAAGACTTAGATGTGATTTAGAAGTATCCTATAGTGAATAAATTACTAGGTTTTAGACACCCATAGATAAGATTCTACTTTACAGTCAAAAGTTTCCATCATCTTAGACTGTGTCCTTTAGATTATTACCATACAAATGAATGTAATTTCCTAAAGTATGCTTCTTAATGCATTAATTATGCCTTAAGAGAGCTCAGAGAATAAAATATCCCCTTGTGGAAACACTAGTTTGAGGACCAGAAAGAGGAGTAAAGGATTTCAAAATTGTAGTAAAATGATTTTTCCAACAGTTTTATTAA